CCTGGTTTCCCTCAGCAGGGTCTTGTAGACCTTGATGGTTCGGGCGGCCGCCGCCTCCTGGTCGAGCACCGTGTTGAGCCGCTTCTCCATCTCGGGGTGATCCTCCTCCAACCTTTCCAGTGTAGCCCTGAGCTGCTTCATGCGCTCCTTGTGGGGCAGGACGAAGGAGATGTTCGTGGCTGTGGTCGCCGCTTCCTGCTCGAGGCTCGTCGCGCACAGGCCCGCCGACCTGGCGCCAGCGATGGTCTCGGCGAGGCGGCCCAGTCTCTGGCACTTCGCCTTATACCACACATAGCGCATCTCCTCGTCGTCGGGTGGGGCGGACCAGCCCTCGTGCTCCATCGCAACGGCGAAGGTGACTGGCGTGATGCTGTCCAGGACCTCCTTCTGCTGCAGGCTGTACTGAAGGTTGCCGATGTGGGCTGCAGTTGGTGCATCCTGCTGGTCCTTCCTTCTGCGCCTGCTGTTCCTCCTCTTGGCTGAAGTACTCCTCCATGGTGCACTGTCCTTCCAGTGCTGAGCGGTGTCGCTTCGCTGCTGGCGTTGGGCTTGTTGTTGTTGGTACTGGTGGTGGGCTTGCTGCTGTTGGTGGTTGCGGGCGTGTTGTTGCTGCTGGAAGTGCTGCTGCCTCTGTGCGTTGTGCTGCTGGTATCCGTTGTGCTGGCGTTGGTGGTGCTGGTTGTCACCTCGGGCCCATACCCAGGGTCGTCCTCCAACGGCTCCAGCGTCTCCAGTCCATGAGTCTCTGTCGACTGACTTGGCGCGCTGCTGGCGTTGGTGCTGCTGCGGCGCCTTCGTAGTCATCGCGAGGTCGTGAGGCTGCTGCTGCTGGTACTGTGGCTACTGCTGCTGGTACTGTGGCTGCTGCTGGTGCTGCTGATGGCGCTGGTGTTGCTGCGCCGAGTGGTGGGCGTTGAGGACGTTGGCTGCCTCCACCACCCGCAGTAGAGCCCTTGCCGAGGAGCGGCGGGCCCTCTCCCGCCTGTGCCAGGCGGGCTCCTGGGGCGTCTGACCCCTCCTGGCGCGCCAGCAGGCGCGCAGCCAGGCGCAAGGTCGTGGCTGCGGCGGTGACTATCGCCGACCCGCCGCGGCGCGCGAGCCCGGCCCCGCGGTCGGCCGATCCCGATGGCGTGAGTCGATCGGCGCGATCGGACGATCAGGCCGAACGGGGTTTCCTCCTCCTCCTCCTCCTCCTCCTCCTCCTCCTCCTCCTCCCTCCTCCTCCTCCTCCTCCTCCTCCTCCCCCTCCTCCTCCTCCTCCTCCTCCTCCTCCTCCTGGCACGCGACAATCCCTCGGAGATTTGAGAAGTTGGGTCCAGGCCCCTACGAGACCCCTCAGGACTGGGGACTGAGGCTCAGGGGATTGGGCAGATGACCCGATGGCACGTCCACTGCGTGCCCAGCGGCACGGTGGCGGGTGTGGAACAGGGACGCAGCTGGACAGAAGCTATCGGCAGGAATGGTCAGATATTGTGCTACAGCAGGTGGCGCTGGCTTCTGAGTATTGTCTTGTCTGTGCCGAGTTGGAGTTTGTGCCGCGCACGGGCGACAACCACCTTGTGCGAAATCGCAGCACATGACAAACCAACAACACACACACACACACACACCCATACCCATAGGGGGTCGGAGAGGGTTATGGGTGCGTGTTGTCGGATGGGGGTCCCCGCTCGAACGGGAGCGTTCCCCAGGGTCCGACAGCCCGCACCCATACCCATAGCCAGTCCTCCTCTCAACGACCACCATATGGGTATGGGTGTGTGTGTGTTGCTCGTTCGTCAACACAGGGGCACTGCAACCGAGAACAGAAAGCCGGATGACGGCCTTGGAAATGTGTCGAGCACCACGAAAGAGGCCATGGCACGAGCAGCTGGGGCGCTACTCCACGTGGCGCGCAGAGACCACAACCCTTGAATAACTGACGCTACGCTCTCCTCCTCCTCCTCCTCCTCCTCCTCCTGCCCCCCTCCCTCCCCCCTCCCTCCCTTCCTCCCTCCCTCCCTCCCTCCCTCCCTCCCTCCCCTCCCGCCCTCCCTCCCTCCCTCCCTCCCTCCCTCATCTGCTCGAGGTGAGACGGGAGACTCTCGCGAACGGGGACCGCGCTACGGAGAATCCATCCCATCAGGCAGCTCGGAGACAAGCGAAACCGGACAACAACACTTGGGCAGGTTATCGGCTCAGCGCTGGCAACTGGCGAAGTGGCGAAGTGGCGAAGGTCGGGAGCCTCGACACGGGGGTCAATGCAAACGGGGGTCAGCCAGGGCAACGGATCCTGCAGGATCCTGTGAAGACCCCCTCTGTCTGACCCGGGTTAGCGAGCCGCTCGTGGCCGCGAGGCGGCCGCGCATATTGGTTGCCCCGGTTTTCGAAGACCTGCGTTGCAGTTTTTGTTCTTGCAATGCAGTTTTTTGGTTTCCTGCTGACCCGGGTCTGGATTGAGATCCCCTAGGAGTCGCACATTGAGAAAGCCTCTAGAGTCGCACATTGAGAAAGCCTCTAGATTTAAGTCGGGCCTGTCCCCCTACAGGTGGATGTTCGACGACAAATGCAAAATGCCCCCAACATGGTCCAAAAATAATCCAAAAATGGTCTGGTGACTATTTTTTTGAGTACTTGACCTTTTGGGGGTATTTTCGTTTTTTATTTTATTTTATTTTCATTTTTCGTCGAAAATCCCCCGGTAGGGGGACAGGCCCGACTTCACTCTGGATCGCGTGCAGTGGCAGGCGCGGCTGGCCGGGCCAGTCGACGGTTCGCCTCTCGGCGGCGAGCTGCCCATCCATAAGTCGGGCCTGTCCCCCTACAGGGAGACCTTCGACGAAAAATAAAGGATACACCCAAATAGGCAAAAAATAATCCAAAAATAGTCGGGTGATTATTTTTTGAGTATTTTTTGATTTTTTGGGGGTATTTTTGGGGTGATTTTTTATTTTTCGTCGAAGATCCCTTTTTAGGGGGACACGCCCGACTTAAGCCTAGCCGCGTGGGAGGTGTGATGCAGACGATCACTCCAGGTAGCTGTCAAGAAGCTGCGGAAGGTGGAGGTTCTGTTGGCTGGACGACGTTCCCTGTCAGTATCGTTTATCCGACCCCCATCCCCATCCTCATCCCCTTCGAGACCCCCACCAAATTACCACCCCACTTGGGGATGCACCCCTCGAAGCCAAAAGGGAACGGCCTATATCCCCATCTAGGTGGGTAAATTGGCCAGTGGGGCACAGGCCGCGCCGCTGGGGATGGGGATCGGATGAACGATACGCACCCTGGGGGACAGCGTGTGACAGACACGGAGAGGAGACGGGTCTCTCATGTCTCACGGGATTCTACCACGCGTGCTGGCTTTCGGAGGAGGCCCCGGCGGACTGGCACACGGCACGGGTTGCGTCAATCTAAAAGCAAGGCAGCGTTGAGGATTGCGAGAGTTGCAGACCGGTGAGCCCACTATGCGTTACGCATAGGATGCGTGCGACTATAGAGATGCAGCGGGTGCACGAGGCTGGAGCTGAGCGGCGGTTGACGACAACGAAGTTCGGCTTCAAGACAGGACGAAGCGCGCAGGACGCTATCTTCGCTGTGAGAAGACGGATCGATCAAAGGCTTGCTTGGCAGAGTCGTCGCGTCGGCGCCCCCGTTCCAGATTGGAAGGTGCTCTTCCTCGCGATCAGCGTGGATGCCAGGGTCACGGCACGGGGGCGCGCAGGACCTCCACGGCATTTGCTGCGGATGCTCCGGCATGTCTGCACTGGCCGGACATCCGCGGTGTTTAGGCAATCCACGGTTTTTTTTTTTTGAATCGGCGCAGTTAGCATCGGGTATCGCCAGGACTCCAGGTAAGGGGACCCGGTTAGTGGTAGGGCCCTGGGGCCCCTCAATAGGCCAGATTCACTAAACCAGGTTTGCCGTAACTGGTGTTTTTCGGGTGACGGCAGTTCAGGTTAGTAGAAATGGGACGGGGGGGCGCCCCCGGTACAAATCACTAATCCAGGTTCCACTAAACCCAGTTTTGCCAACGCCCGATATCAGGAGTTCCACAAGGTTGCCCTTTTCCTAGTTTTCTGTTCGTGATGCTGGTGACAATCATCGCGCGCGGCGCCGCGGAACGACTGCCCAGAGAGTTTGGGCAGCAGGCGGGCTGGGCACGCTTGTGCATGCGAGCGACACTTGTCATCGAATCAAATTGAAACGCGGTGCAATCGGTGCTGGACAGTAATTACGGCGTACCTCGGCGCCCAGTACGGGATGGCCTTGCACTCGTCCAGATTCCAAGGGCTGTCTACCAGGAATGCTCACCACCTCCATACCCCAACCGGCGAGGCCGTCGCAGACACAAGGTCATGAAGCATCCGGGCGGGAAGTTACACTCGAGCTACGACGTGGGCGACGAGCTGCGCGGCAATGCTGGCCACGCATGGGGCGACCTCAACAGTCCTGGAAGAGAGCGCCCTCATCATGGGCACGGATACCGATGGATTTGAGTCGAGTGTTGTTGCGGGGTTTGTTGTACGGCCTCAGCCCCGCTGGTTTGAACACGACCGCCATCAAACGTCGAAATGGTTCCCACGGAGCATGCTCCTTTTCTGATGTCGTTCACATGCCATGTCTGTAAATTTCAATCGAAATTATTGTCAAGAAAACGGGCAGGCGACCGTTGGACCAGCGAGAATTCCAACGATTTTTCTTCGCATGATCGGAAGGTTCGGGCTATGGACGGTGACGTCCTACGGCACGGAGTGCTCGCGCCGGGAAGCCTTGCCCTTCTTGCGCACAAGTTTGTCAGGAAGACCAGTCGCCCCAGGGACGATGGGTCAACGCATGTCGGGAAGGTCGCTGCTCAGGTTGGCGCCGATGTGAGAGATGTGATGGAATTGAAGGCCAGGGTCGTTAAGTTGTGCGCGAGTAGTTATGTGCAGGAGTTCGCGCGCCAGGGGCGTATGACTTTGATTTGTTGCGTTTCACAGGAAGTGCCTGCCATTTCTTCCTATTCCCGCCCCCCCCCGCAGCACTACTCCTCGGCGCTCCACAAGGCCCACGATGCCTGCGTGCTGGGCAAGAAGTCGGCCGCGGCCCTCAGCAGGGCCGCTGCCGCTGAGGGCGGGGGTGGGGGGCGCGCCACCATCGGAGGCCTGGAAATTGGGACCAATACCAAGACAATGGGTTGCCTCCACAGGGGGGAGGTGATCCTAGATTTTCGGCGTTGGTGGTATTAGTTCGGCCACCTTGGAAACCAGACTATTACCACCATCGCCGAGATCGGGATCTTCTTCCCTCGGTGGAGGCACACCGCCGAAATTGGTGTTGGTGTCAATCTCTAAGCCTGCGCCACCAGCCTCTCCCACCCAGGAATCCCATTCGATGCCGACCCTGGCCGGCCCGATCCGGCCCGCTCCCGACATGCCAACGATCCGGTCCGGCCCGATGCTTGCGCATGGCGCGGCTTGCGCACCCTGGCGCAGCCGGTCCGATTGGATTTCGGTTCCGCGCCGACGCAGCATGCACATCTCGATTCGATCCGATGCACCGATGCCGGCAGATCCTGCCTCCGCCGTCGGGGGGCGGCCGCGACGGGGCGGCACCTGGTCGAGGAGGGGGTTGGCCATCCCTCGGGCGGGTGGTACTGGGGGGTGGCTAAAATAATGGAGGGCGAAGAATGAGGTCCCCCATTACCACCCGCCCGCCTTATCCATGGGATTCGGGCGTTGCGATTTTTTCAGCGGGCGTTATCACCCAATTCCGGTCTTCGGAACTGTCACAGACCAGTCTGGCTCGAACGTTGTAGGCTTCCCAGATAGGGTCCGAGCGGGTGGGGTCGGAGGTTCGCTCCGCATCACTGTTGCATCGGCGATGCGGCTCGATGTGGACGATGCATTGCCGACGTCGCCGATGCATCGGCGATGCCTCGGCGTTGCATCGGCGATGTGGCGCGAACCTCGGACCCCATCCACTCGGACCCCATCTAGGAGTCTTCGAAACATGCAGCACAAATATTCTTGACGCTTCGCGTATCCCCACCAGCGTTTCCCCTCCCCCACTGTCCCCTTCTTCCCTTTTCACAGACAGTGTGACCGTCAGTCACTTCCCTGGCAGTCTTCCCAGCCGAGACACGCCCGCGGCTGGAGGCATCCCCCACCTGCTGGAAGAGTAAGGTTCTCATGATGGGGACGTGCAGCCGTCAGCCGCAGTCGTCCATGTGTGCCCCTATCTCTCCAGCCCCTCACGACCGGTTCCGGTCACCCCACAGCGCTTGGCCAGCCCCCCGCCCTTGTGGATCAGGCCCCTGGCGCTGTCAATACTTGGCGCGATGCCCTGGCTGGGGCGAGGCGCAAAGTGCCGATACACGGCCTGCCCGTCTGCTGTAGCAGTGCTCACCCTGGCCTTCACCGCACCTGGCCGCAGGGAGTTCCCGCCCCCCCGCTGCAGGTCCAGTGTCGGCTGGTGACGGCCCCAGCACCGCACCTGGCTCGGCCTCCCCGCCCTTGGGGACCCAGCCCCCAGGCGCTGTCAATACCTGGTACGCAGGCCTCCGCTGGGGCGGGGCGCGACGTGCCTCACGGCCCCGGCCGTTGGCTGTAGTTGTTTTCGCCCTGGGCATTGCCCGGACCTGGTCACGGCCTAGCTCGGTTTCCCTGGCTCTGGCCCCTCTTTCGTGACGTCTTCGGCTCACGCCTCTTGTCTCGAGCGCCTGGGCTCCGGTTACCGCCGCCCTCAGTGCTTGCGGCCCCGCTCTGTCCCTCGCGCTCGGCACCCACCTGACTCCGTGGAGTCGGCTGCGGCACCCTGGCGCTCTGGGGACTTGCGTCCTGACCAGCTCCAGCACGAGTGCCTGTACTCCCCTGGCATCTGGTCCCCAGTCACCGCCACAGCTGGCCGTGTCTGTCGGTGCTGTTGGCCCTTTGGGATTCTGGACTGCCGGTTCACTCAGGAGTGGTTCAGCCTTCTTGAACGACCCTGCGCGTCTCCCGTCGGTCTGCTGCCACACGCTGGACTGTCACGCAGTCCTGTGCTTCGCCACGTCTGTGGCGCGCCGACCTCTGGCGCCCTGTGGCGACAAGGTCGAACTCACGTAACTGGTGATCCAGCTCCCGGGGTACCCGCACGTTTGCAGCTTCCTGGCAGCCCCAGCAGCCTGTAGTCCCCACCCCCGGCGCTGTTTCTCAGCCTCGGCGGTTGCAGCACGGCCCTCGGCGCAGCTGCTTCCCGTGGCGGGGTAGGTCTGGCTGTTACCTGCGCGCGCACCGACAATTCGCTCCGCTCGTAGCCCGAGCCGACTCGACTCGCCGCTGGCGCCTTCGCCTGCGTTTGCGACAAAAAATATCCCCACCAGCCTCGCTGGATAATTCGGTTTCGCTTGTAGCCCGGGCCGACTTCTGACGCCGCCTGCGCCTTCGCTTGCGGCCGCGACCCCAAACAAAAAGTCCCACCAGCCGCCCCTGCTTGCCCGGCGTCCGACTCGCATCGTGCGCCTGCGTAACAAAAGCATCCCCACTAGCCCACCCAAAAACAATGCCCGTGAGAGTTGACGGGGGGAGAGGAAGAGACACGCACAGTCAAACAGCGAGGGAGGCCGCCTGGACGGCGTGTTGTGGTCATCTCCGGGCCCGTGTGGGTGGGGGTGGTGGGGGGGGGGCGAAGAGGAGGGGGAAACCGAGGAGGAGCAGGAGGGGGAGGATGATGCGGAGGAGGAAGATGATGATGATGATGATGATGATGATGATGATGATGATGATGATGATGATGATGATGATGATGATGATGATGATGATGATGATGATGATGATGCTGATGATGCTGATGCTGATGCTGATGCTGATGCTGATGCTGATGCTGATGATGATGCTGATGCTGATGCTGATGCTGATGCTGATGCTGATGCTGATGCTGATGCTGATGATGATGATGATGATGATGATGATGATGATGATGATGAGGATGATGATGATGATGATGATGATGATGATGATGATGATGATGATGATGATCGTGGTGGTGGTGATGATGATGATGAGGATGATGGTGATGATTATGCTGATGATAATGATGATGATGATGGTAATGATGATGAGGATGAGGATGATGATGCTGATGCTGATGCTGATGCTGATGCTGATGATGCTGCTGCTGCTGCTGATGATGATGATGATGGTGATGATGATGATAAGGGGGAGGATGAGGAGGAGGAGGAGGCGGAGGAGGAGGAGGGGGGAGGCAAGAGAAGCAAGACGAGGAGGAGGAGGACGAGGATGATAATGATAAGTCTGCTCCACTCCAGACCCCTCCCGCCGTCCATCCTTGCCAGCTTTCCGAGCCGTATGGCGTTGAGGCAGAGACGCGCCCCGAACTCTCGAAGTGAAGACTTCGCCCTCGGCGACGCGGCCGCAGCCTTCTTCTCCGTCGTTGTCATTGGTGTCGTCGTGATCGTCGTCGTCGTCGTCGTCGTTGCCGTCGGCGTCGGCGTTGGCGTCGGCGTCGGCGTTGGCGTCGGAGTCGGAGTGGCATCGGCGTCGGCGTCTGCGTGGGTGTCGGCGCCAGCGTCGTCGTCGTCGTCGTCGTCGGCCTCGTTGTCGCCGTCGCTGTCGCCTTTCGCCGTCGTCGTCGTCATCGTCGTCGTCGTCGTTTTCTCCGTTGTGGTCTCCGTCGTCGTCTCGTCATCGTCTCGTCATCGTCGTCGTCGTCGTCGTCGTCGTCGGCGTCTTCGTGCTCGTCGTCGTCGTCGTGGTTGTCGTCTTCGTCGTTGTGGTGGTGGTGGTGGTCGTCGTCGTCGTCGTTTTCGTCGTTGTCGCACTGGGCCAAGCCACCATCCGATGGAGGTCATTGGATGTCTCCAAAGGAAGCCGCCGGCAAGTGCTCGCAACTGCCAAGGACCCCGATCCTGGACGCTCGATGCTTGCCGTCCTAGTCGTGGTTGTCGCTGTCGTCGCCGCCGCCGTCGCCGTCTTCGTCGTCGTTGCCGCCAGCGCCCTCATCGCCGCCGTCTTCACCACCGTCGCCGTCGTCGCAGCCGCCGCCGTCGCCATCATCGTCATCTCCAAAAGTCACACCCCAGGAAGTGTCCAAGGGAGAGACTCCCGCACCCCGAGGAGAACGCGACCGTGGCGGCGAGGGCGCCCCTGGAGGCCCAGACAGGGCCGAAACGCTACGAAAGCCGCCGTCGCCGTCACCGTCCAGGACTGCTCACGGCCCGATGCCATCCGATCTCATCCCCCAGTTTCAATTCCGATCTCGATCCGGTCCGAACCCGCACGAACCGATTCCCTATCCAGCCTGCAGGGGCCGATCCCGACCCGCGATCCCAGACGATCCGATCCCGACCCGATTCCGCGCCGACTTGGGCGAGACCCGATCCGTCTCCGATCCGCTCCGATTTTGCGGTCCGATCCAGTTCAGACGTGCCGCCGCCGTCGTCACCGCACCCGCCCATCGGGCCGCCGTCGCCGCCGTCGTCGTCGTGGTGGTGCCCACCGTCGTCGTCGTCGTCGTCGTCGTTATCGGCGTCGTCGTCGTCGTCGTCGTCGGCGGCGGCGGCGGCGGCGGTGGCGTCGGCGTCAGCGTCGTCGGCGCCAGCGTTATCGCCGCCGTCGTCGTCGCCGTCCCCGTCCCCGTCGCCGTTGCCGTCGCAGTCGCCGTCGCCGTCGCCATCGCCGTCGCCGCAGCCGCCGCCGTCGTCGCCGTGGCCGTCGTCGCCGTGGTCGTCATCGTCATCATCGTCTTCGTCGTCGTCGTCGTCGTCCGCAAGGGCTGCCCCCGCGGGCCGCCGAGGTTTCCGGGCTGCTCCACAGCCAGGGGGCGAGCGCCCTGCATCCGCCGCCGCCTCCGTGGCCCGGCGGGGGCGAGGGCGGCCCAGGCTGCTCCCGCCGGGAGGGGGGGGGGCCGCCCCTCCCTTCGGCTGTGGCGTCAGGGGGGCAACGTCAGGGGAGCCCCCACCTCGCCTCGCTGTGGACAGAAGCAAGACACCACGCGCACGCGCACTCGCACACGCGCATGCGCGCGCACGCGCGCGCGCAACTGCACGCGAGGACGATGATGAGGCTGAGGATGAGCATGAGGATGGTTGTGGTGATGA